GCCGGATCGAACCGCAGATTTTCAGCTAGCCATGTGGCTAGCTGGTTAAAGAAATCGTACGCCGACTCATTCATTCGACAGGAGACCTAAAGCTTACGCACCCAGCTAACTGGGTACTCTCGGCCCAGTTATATCAATGGCAGAGTGTCTTTCTATACATGATCTGTAACGCGAACGGGGCTGGTTACCGCTAGTACGTCGCGTGAGAATCTTCTAGCTACGAATTTAGCAAATTAATGGGTCATAATTAGAGTCGACTAGCATACAAGCATGTCCGCACTATATCATCAATCACAATGTACATCTTGCCCAGTAATTTGTTGCCATGATGTATCTAATACGTGTAAAAGACCACTTTATATATAAGTGGTCTTTTTACAACACGGAACAATACAGATCGTATAGCGACGTATATCATGTTATATATCGCAATGGGTTATATAACTTAGACTGTATGATAGCATTCGAGCTGGTACGGGGTTTTCAGAATAAGAAGATACTACATGCACAATTTGTGGGCGTGTTAAATTCCTTTCTGTACATACATACATACATACATATGTACATAGGTTGACTACGGATGTACCAGAATCAAATAAATGCATTTTTTCGAGCAGGCCTTTGCTCTTGCAATTGGCCTATTTTTTGGCGTCTATATTTTATCAGTGGTGTGTAAAAGTGGCTTCCAGATATATCTCGCATCAATAGAATCTACGTTGCCAGGACAGCAAGTTAATTGGTCCAGTAAAACAGGCTAATCGCAGAAGTAGTGCAAGTCCAACGTTGAACTTTTATGACCTAAAAATTCAAAAGATAAGGCATGCTAATAGATGCATACAGGCACACCACAGTCCACTTGCAATAAAATTTAAAAAAAGGAAGTGGAGGTCTGCTTTCGAGGAGCACGAAAAGAAGTACAAGAGTAAACTTGATTGTGACGGTATGCAAGGCTGCGGTTCCTACAAGGTCCTGTCAAGTGTGCTGGCGTCTTTGCTATCAGGACGTTTAAAAACGAATCGCTGGCCAAATATCTGTAACACAGTACGCTGCAACTAAGACAACCACAGACATCGACAGAGTTTATTTCCAGATCCTCGTCGAAAAGATCTACTGTTTTTCGCTGACCTTGACGGTGACCGTCTCCTCCAGAAAACGGACGCGGCTGTCTATTTTCTAATGGTTTTTTGCGGGTAACACGTTACACACGAATCTCTTCCTGGTTTCGATTTGCGACAATTTCGACATTGATTACGAAATCATCACGCAATCTTCACGCCACTTCTAACGTATAAAGGCCGTTAGCAGAAAACGTCAAGTACCCCGAAACTTTCTAGGCATTCAGTTGATCGCGCCCTCTGTATTTTCCCTTTGGACTAGGCTTTGCATGGAACAGACAAAAATGTACCGAATAAACCAGATTAGTATCCAAAAAAACCATATGGTCTGGCTATGTACGAGTCTAGACATTATCGCGCAAGTAAACTTAGACTGGCCCGTTTTAATCCTGCCGATGGAATTACCCAATAGATGAGATGACAGTTTGAAAACGATCGAACGCAGAAGAGATATTTATAGCATACATTCCTTCCTATCCCCTGATCGACTGCAGTTGTTGAAATACTTGAAACTAACACTATCTGTATATATGTAGCTTTGGACGTTTCCGTAGGAAATGATAGGTACTTTTCCCTACAGCCCTGGGTTCTCTCCGCTTCTGGAAAGAGCCCGGCTGCGGTCATGAACCACGGTACACTGTTCTACAACTCATACCTCGTTTTGTTCTCTACTGTCCTTTGCTTTAGAGGACTCTGCAGCGCAATAAGTAACTCTTCAATGAGTGAGGGCAGCCTTTTCGAGTCGACAGAAACGCTTCTACTTTTTCTTACCAATGGTACGTTGCAATGTCTTTCATGTATGTTGCACACTGCAAGCGTGACGTTTGTGTCACGTTTCAAGCGGGAAAAAGCGGCTAACATGCAGCATTGTTGGCACAACAAAACCAGAACTGGCGAATCGGTAGTTCGTTGTGATACGAACGGGATCGTACCAAAGGGGACCAACCCGCTTCTTCCCCTAATGCTTGGTCTTTTTGAAGAAAATGAGCCGAACAGTACATAGCGCAGGGGAGAGAACGTTGAGCAAACCGTTCATTTGTTCATGTTTTGGGTCCTGCGCGACTGTGAAAACTATGTCTATCTGTCCGTCTGTGCCCTGTGAGTTGAGTGAGCGGGGTGTGGGCCAAAGGAGCGGACGCGATAAGCAATAATAATGGAGCCATTGCGGCTATAACGATTTCTACTAGATAAAAAAGGGGGGTGACAATTTTAGTGACCACTGTAGCAGACGCAGGATTTTGATCGGCTCTTAAGCCTATAACGTGTGTGCACGCGGATGAGCATCTTTACAGGTCAAGTAGGGAGCTAATTGCTTTGGTAACCCCAAAGGCTAAAAAGGACAGCCGTGATGAAATAATTACATGTATCAATTGGTACAGATACTATGGAAATATTGCGCATTTAAAAAGTGAGAAGACTTTCATCAGACGTACAACTGCCGCATGATGCTTGTGTGTTTCCGTGTACAGGGTTTTAATTTGTTATTTCCAAGTAGATCTAGATACACACACCTGAAAATCTTTGAATAGTGCCAGCATTGATTATAATATGTAATTAATTATAATATAATATAAATTACGAGCTCCGTGGTTGTCTTTGATTTTGCAGATTAGAGTGTCTTCATTATAAAATCTAGGTGCGCAAAACTAAATAAAAGTGTTGACATAAACGGAATTATAGGAAAACAAAAATAAGTAGTTTAAATTAATATATATATAGCTAAGTCCTACTGAAAAATGAAAATGGGGCCGGGGGTGGCTGCTTTACATGCGCTCGGGCTGTGCCGTCCTATGACCGATAGTAAAATTTACGACGGCACAGAACTTCTTTGGGTGCCACACTTCAAGATGAAATGACTCAACAGACCCAATAGCCACAAGAACAAGACAGAAGAACCTGCGTACGACTGTATTACACATTTATCGAATCTACCGGAATACTCCCGCAGCAAGCAGACAACCGAGATTTTAACTAGGCCTAAGAATAAAGATCAGCCAGGTTTAATATAACCGTATTAGATCTATGAGAATGTTACGTAGTTGTTCTACATTACGGGGATAGATTGACAGAGGAAATCTGGGCGACCCTATTCGAACATAATTACTGCTGCTATTTAAACGTTGTATAAACCTAGGTAAGTACCTAAGGAGGCTTAACATTGCACAAACAAAACGGGCTTCCGCTTTACAGAGTACTACGCCTCCCCAAAAAGATTGTCCATTAGCGATGTTTTAAAGAATGGCTATGAAGTACTTCCCCGTTGCAGCGAAATCGCCGTAAAGCAAATACGTTGAACTCTATGAATTCTAGCGTAGATTTGCAAGGCAAGTAAAAGAAGTAAGCAGTCATTTTGAAATCAAATATATTGGGTCTTTCAGAAGAAATGGTGATATAGCGACCTCAAATTTCGCAAATATTTTTCATTCAAACTTAGTTCTTTCATACTCGATCGAGCTATACATCATCATTCTAAACGATCTTCTGCCATTTCGATGGCAGCTTACCTATTCCGCTGTTCTTCATAAAGTCATAAAATAGACAATTTTGTGACTTTATGAATTTTATTTTCAAAAATAGACAAAAAAAAAAGAGGCATTACATTCAAACTTTGATCTTAATCTTCGTTATTATAAAGTTGTCGAAGTTTTGACACTGCTAGTTTATGCGAGCCATGTCTGCACCGTTGAGCCGCAAAGTCGAGCGATGTATCATAATAAAAATTATTTATTCCTGTTAACTCATATTGGGCAGAGGTCTTCCATCATCCGTTTCAACTGTTTACAGCAACGGAGGGAGCAGGACTCGCGGAGCACCTGAAGCAGGATATCAATTAGACACCGTAAGCTTTTGCAGCTGTACATGGCTTTAGGGTGATATTTTATCGGCTCAACTATGTTCATCTACCGATACGATCCACTGCGATTATCGTAGAGAACCCGTTAATTCGGTAG